CGGTTAGAAGAAGTAACAGAACAAAAAATTGACATGAAGCCTGAGCTGTTTCTTCTAGGAATAAAAAAAAGAAATATTACTAAGGATATCCAATATATAATGCTCCATATAATTATTGCAGCCAGAATCTCATTTGTCCAAAACTGGAAACAAAAAACCCATTCTCTCAAATCATTAAAAAAAGGTGCTAGAATGCTCAGAAATGGACAAACTAACGATGGAAATAAGAGATAGAGAGGAAACAAGATACAAGATATGGAATAGGTGGTAAAATTGGCTTGAAAAGAGATGTAAAATCAATGCATAATGAATGTAGAGATGTTAAATATTCTATAAGCATGTATATATTGTAAAAATGAGAAACTATGAAACCAAGGGGAATATGTATAAGACAACATGATGTCAAATGGAAAACCCGAAATTAGAAACGAGAAATACCAATAACGGAAAGCTGCAATGGTGTAATGGTAACTTTAATGTTTGGAAAATGCTGAATAAAAATTATTTTTTAAAAAAAGAAAAGAAGGTGAAAATGTTGTGGAGAGAGAGACCCCTCTGCTGGCTTGAAGCAAGATGACAAGCAGCAAATCTACAAGATGGGACTTTGGGTTCCGGTGTCCTCCTAAATCACACTTAACATAATCCTGTGGAAAATGAGCAGGCTGAAGGCAGAGTTAAACGTGTCATCCATTTGGAATCATGGCGTCGCCACAAGGGACCCAAGTTTCAGCTCCCCGACAATTTTGGCCTTTTTGTGTTTTAGACCCATCTGAAGTTCTAGGACAGTGATGGTGAACATTTTCAGCACAATGTACCCAAACTGCATGCATGCACGCCCGAGCACTGGGAACCTGAAGAGCGGCTGGCTAGCCTGTTTTTTGGCCATTTTCCAGGCCGTTTTTGAGGCCCAAAAAATTGCCCAAAAAACATTCTGAAAACAGGCCAAAAAAAAACAAAAAACCCTTGAAAACGGCACGGAAAATGGCCTGGTTTTGGGCCATCTTCCGGGGCATTTTCAGACCATTTTTTCAGGCTGAAAAACGTTCTGAAAAGGGCCTGAAAAGCAGCCCCCCAAAAATGGCCTGTTTGGGGGGTATTTTTCGAGCCGTTTTCAGACTCCGGTCCCAGCAACCAGAAGAGCAGCTGGCAGCAGTGCGCATGCACACAGAGGGCTCTGTGGCACTCGCGCCATAGCTTTGCCATCACGGCTCTAGGATTAACTCCATCTAAGCCCCTTAAGGAGGCTTGTCATGTTTGCAAGAACTCAAACCATTGTTGTTTATATTTTTTTAAATGCATAGGTAATTAGGGAGATAAAGAAAGAGTTTGTTTTTTTTAAAGGCTCCCAAGAACTAAGGGAGAGAAACCTTGGAGGTTTCTGACGCTCTTACTCTTAAGAGTGTTGGGCAAAGATTTCCCCATTGCAAGTAATTCTCGACTTACGACCACACATTCACCCAACTCCATATAATCTCCTCTCCCACTTTCCCACAGTAGAAAGTGTGGCAGGCCTGAAATCTCAAAAAGAAAATATGGCTTGCAGGTCTGACAGTTAATTCTCTATTAAAAAAAAAAGTCATACACGGATAAGGAAGTCAGTCATCAACGTCTTTCAGTTAAGGGATAATCCAAATAACATAGTCCATAATCATACAAACAGTCCGGTACTCAAAGGTTGCTAGCAGTTGCAAAACCTACAACAGCTCACGGCACAGCCAGCTTCCAAAACACTCAGATCAGATCAGCCCAGCATCTAACAAACAGAGAGCTAACAGTCATTCTGTCTCCCTCT